AGACACACAGGCCCCGCCACACACAGGCTCCAACACACACAGGCTCCGACACACACAGACCCCGACACACACAGACCCCGACACACACAGACCCCGACACACACAGAGGCCTACACACACACAGGCCCCGACACACACAGGCCCTGACACACATAGGCCTCAACACACACAGGCCCCGACACACACAGGCCCTGACACACACAGACCCCGACACACACAGACCCCGACACACACAGACCCCGACACACACAGGCTCCAACACACACAGACCCCGACACACACAGACCCCAACACACACAGACCCCAACACACACATAGGCCTCAACACACACAGGCCCCAACACACACAGGCCCCGACACACACAGGCCCCAATACACACACAGGCCCCAACACACATAGGCCCCCCACACACACAGGACACACACAGGCCCTGACACACACAGGCCCCAGTACACACAGGCTCCCACACACATGGCTTCCAGGCAGCATTTTCACTAGAGGAACCTCAGGGGGTGGACTCTGGGGTGGGCGGGTGATGGGTGGAAGGAAGCGGAGTCTGGACTGTCGCGGGGCAGGCGCCGTGATCTCTTCACGCTACCTGGTGGGTCACACGTGCAGACTTGAGGGAACCATGAAACCTGCGTTGGAAATTCAGGCTGTGATGTCAGCAAGTTCTCTCCGTGTGGACTCAGCCGGCCACTGGGTTCCAACCCATTTCAGCCAGTTTTGTTTTCTTACGAGAGACGGACGCTTCCGCCTTTCAACTGTTTCTTCTCTTATCTGACATCCTGAAAACTCCGGGATTTCTGTTCCTCATCGGTCTCTTTAGCTCCTTGGGGCCCAGGTTCCCTGAGTCGTCTGCAGTTGCGTCAGGCCCCCCGCCCAACCCGCCCACCGATGCCTGCACAGTCCCCAACCCAACCTTCAGTCATTACTTTTTGGGAATAAGTTTTCTGAGGTACATACAGAAATGTGCACACAGCATAAATATGTGCAGCTGCATAAGTTTTCACAACATCACAAGCATCCCCAGACCACAGAACGGAGCGTCACCGTGTCCTGAGGCTCCCTGTGCCCAGCGCTGACCCTTCGCCCACCAGTCACCAGTTTAGCGGGGACACGTCCCACCTTCGAACTCCTTACACAGGGGTGCTTCGGCAGGTGCCTCTCTGCTGTCTTCCCTCACCCCACCCTCCGTTACCCACCGACTCCTCCATTAGCACGCAGGTCCCCCGCAAGCCCCTCCGGGCCAGGTGTCATTCTACATGCTCCCCTGGCAACTGGCTGTGTCCCCGTGGCAACCTGATCAATCCCCACGGCAACTGAAACCACCCACGGCCATGTGGCAGGTGCTTGTGAATCTCCTGATGGACAAGTGGATGTGCAGGCGACTGCCTCCTCGGCGAGGTGGAGAGACCAGAGGGGTGGCCCAGGAGAGGGCTTGCCCGGGCCTGAGGCAGCCCCCGAGACCTGCTCCAGGTCGGACGCCAAACCAGGAAGGGCGGGCAGGCTCGGGTGGACCCAGCAACAGCAGCTTTCAGGCGTGAGGCTCATCTGGTGAAACGCCACCTGCCGCGAGGGAGCACAGGTTCTCCAGCTCTGATCATGAGTCTACAATCAACACTGCGGCAAAGCTCTTCAAAAGGAGAAGGTGCGCTTCGTAAGGACGAGAAAAACAGACCCGGAGCCGCGGCGGACCTGCCTGCTGCCTGCTGTGGGCCCGGGTCCACAGACCTGCCTGCTGCCTGCTGTGGGACCCAGGTCCGCTGCTGTCGGTTTCCATTAGGGAAACCTCGAGAGGACATAAAACAGCGTGGGAGGGAGAGGAACCCACCCTGAAAAGGAAAATGCTGGCAGTTAACAGGGTCCTCCATGGTGTGAACCGTGTGAATCTGTGTGCACCCACCCGTGGAAGGCCTTCCACATCCAGGGCACACAGGAGCTGGGAGACACAGCCGCAGCCGCCTTCCCTGGAGCCTGGGAAAGGTGCATTTCTGTAGCAGCCACAGGTGGGGGCCAGGCTGCTGCTGGTGTTATCGCAGCCACTCAACAGTGGGGAGCACCAGCTTTACAAAGAGGAAGCCGGTGACTGAGGAGTGGGCACGGCTCTAGGTACAGCTGGTGACAGGCATGGGCTTCACACAGGAGGGAGGCGGGCGATTCGCTGTCACCCCACCGTGGGCAGTGGGGACCCTCAACCAGAGGCCTGAGATGAGTTCCCAAACACTGTACCCTGAGGACCCCCGAGAGGCTTTCAGGTTTTAGAAAACCCCTTCCTGAAAAGTCCACATGTAACATACGAGCTCTCTCGTGCGCGCGTGTGTGTTTGTGCTTCGCGGTGATCAGACCCAACGCCAGGTCCTGGGGGCGATGAAGTACGGTGGAGTCAAAGGAATAAGAAAAAGACAGTTCAAGAAAGTGGGACCGGGGGCCATGGCCAGTGTGGAGGCTGCACCCGAGCTCTGGGAGCCCACACTGTTTATTGGTGCTCAAAGAAACAGCTAGTGAGGATGTGGGGGTTGAAAGGAAACTGTATCAAGTGAAGGAGAGATCATGGGAGTGCTGGAAGCAAGGAGCCAGCATGTCTAGCAGACATGGAAGCCCTGCCTCAGCTTCTCTCCCAACATTTCTGTGTGTATGTGTGTGTGTGCATCCCTGTGCATGTGTGCTTGTGTGTGTGCATGTGTGTGTGTTTGTGATGTGTCTGTGCATTTGTGTGTGTGCATGTGTGTCTCTGTGTGTGTGCCTGTGTGTCTCTGTGTGTGCCTGTGCATGCTTGTTTCTGTGTCTGTGCGCTTGTGCATGGGTGTGTGTGAGTGTCTCTGGCTGTAGCAGGCTCTGCGGGTCCCTGTGTGCATCAGAGACCCTCCTACAGGTTGAGTTTGGAGTGTGGGGAGCCCTTGGAAGGAATGAGGTCATGGAGAGGGCGGCTGAGCTCTTTGTGCTCTGGGCTCCCTGCCTAAGAGGTCACCTTGTGACTGCAGCCGGGCCACTCGGGATGGCCCCGCAGGGTCCCCTGGTGGCCACTCTCCCTCCCGGTCCTGCCCACTGCCCCATTGCTTGGGGATCTGTGTTAGTCTGTTCTTGCATTGCTATAAAGAACGATCCAAGTCTGGGTAATTTATAAGGAAAAGAGGTTTAATGGGCTCACGTTCCGCAGGCTGTACAGAAAGCATGGTGGCATCTGCTTCTGGGCAGGCCTTGGGGGGCTTTTACTCATGGTGGAGGGTGAATGGTAAACAGTCGTCTCACATGGCAAAAGCAGGAGCAAGGGGCGGGGGAGGCGCTGCGCACTTTTAAACAACAGGATCTCGGGAGAGCTCACTCACTATCCCGAGGACCCCACGGAGGGGATGGTGTTAAATCATCATGAGGGACCCGCCCCAGGATCCAGTCACCTCCCACCAGGCCCCACCTCCAACAGGGGATATCATTTCAATAACACTCAATAACAGTTCAATAACAATCTGAGGTTTGGGTGGAGACAGAGCCAAACCCTGCCAGGCTCCCAACCACAGGACTTCACAAATGGTCCCTTTGCAAACACCACCCTGTTCTGAGAATTCCGAGGCTTCCCTGTGACCCCACAGGACGCACGGCCACTTCCCAAGGAGGCGTTTCTTCCTTCCCCTTCCCCAACTGTGCACCACGGAAGAGACTGCAGCTCCTTCCGGCGACACAGCAGCTGCTCCCTTGGTGTCAGCGATGCCCTGACGTTTTCCAGAGAGGAATGAGTGATGCGGCCTAGAGCGAGAGCACGTGAGATGCTGTCCGGGTGGAGAACCGTGGCAGCGCCTGGACCAGGAAACCGCAGGACGCCCAGCAGCCGTTGCCCATAAGGACAGGGCCCTTTACAGAGCTCGTGTGGTCACCCCCAGCCTCGGTGGGAGGAGGACGCGCCCTTCCGTGGAGGGCCCCTAACGTGTGCCTGGGTCTCCTGCGATGAGTCCGGGGTGAGGGGGTGTCACCAGGTGAGGATCTATCACGGAGGGAAAACACAGCCCTTCCAGGGAGGATGGACCAGAGAATTAGGAGAAGTCAGACCTGCCAGGAGCAGCACCCTCGTTACCCGGAGACGTTTGAATGTTCACCAGTCGCCGGAAAATGAAAACTTTTCAAGGCTGCACTGAGAGTTTCCGTGTGGTCGACACTGGCCAGTGTGAGGGGCGTCCACGATTGAGGCCGTAGACGTTCACGCAGCGGCGCAGAGATTCCCAAGGGCGGACTTTGAAAAAAATGTATCTTTAGGTGCATCAACACCTGCTGGAAGGAAAGACGCCTCGTCTGATGGCCGGACTGGAAACGCGTTCTCTGTGGGCACGTGTATTTCATGTGGACATACAGGCTCCTGTGTGCTCATGTGCTTGTGTGTGTGCTTGTGAGTGCCTTTGTGTGTGTGCTGCACATTTTCTGTGTTTGTGTGTGCCTGTGTGTACATGGTTTTGTGTGTGTGTGCGCCTGTATGTGTGTCTGTGTGCCTGTGTGCATGGTTTTGTGTATACATGTGCATGTCTGTGTGCCTGTGTGTGTGTCTGTGTGCCTGTGTGTGTGGTTTTGTGTATACATGTGCATGTCTGCGTGCCTGTGCGTATGAGTGGTTTTCTGTGCACATGTCTACATGTCTGTGTGTGTGCATAGTTTTGTTACATTTAATTTTAGTTTGTGCATGTGCCTGTGTGTGTGCCTGCCTGTGTGCCTGCGTGTGCCTACAAGACTCTGTATGTTTAAGAATGTTAGTGGCAGCATGCTAACACTTAGCACAACTTTTATCTCTTCTGCAGGATCAGAAGTGATTGATTTTGATGGAGAAAGTTCCCTGCTTTACCGATTTATTCAAAATACCAGGAGTCCAGGAAAAGACGTCATTTCTTTGAAATTTAAAACTCTGCAGAGTGATGGGATTCTATTCCACAGGGACGGACGGAATGGGAATTGCATCACCCTGGAATTAGTGAAAGGAAAACTCATTTTATTCATAAATTCAGGTAAAATTATCAGTCGAGGACTTCAATAATCTGATTACTTAGACATAATTTATGGCGAAATATTTTTGCATGTAATCTTTAAGCAGTCATTACGGATGCAAGGGCCTGTGTCGGCTCATGGAAATCGTGCAGGTGGGACCGCTGTACGGGAGGGGATCACTGGGCTCTCACGTCCTTCAATGCCACTCTGTAACTCCATCCCACAGTTTCCCAGCCCCAGCACAGCAGACCTTTCGGGCCAGATGATTCTCTGGGCAGGGCCCTCCTGTGCACTGGCGGGGGGTGGACAATGTCCTGCTCTCTGCCCCCTCTGCTCCCAATGCCAGGAGCACCCCAAAGCCATGACCATCAGAAATGTCTCCAGAATGGCCCGATGTGCCCTGGGGACAATGATCCCTGACTGACCATCACTGTCCCATGCTACGGACGACAAGGCTGCCACAGCAGTAAGGAAAGTTCACAACACACACAGGGGTTTTCCAGGAAAACGAGTCTGTGACAGACTCGTAAAAGGTGGTGAAAAGAGAGGGTCAAGAATGGGGTTGCCGGGGTGGGAGGGCCTCATGCCCAGGTCAGATGCAGCCACTCCCAGGGCCAGGGTGCTGGCCTCCCCTTCTAGACGGGACCTGACAGCATCTCCTTCCTTCTGCCCAGGCAACGCCACGCAACCCTCACCACCTGGCCAGGGTGGCCTGGCGCTGGGCAGCCTGCTGGACGATGGGCACTGGCACACAGTGCGGCTGGAGTGCTCTGGCCAGGGCCTGAACCTCACGGTGGACAGGCACTCGAGACCCATCTGGGCACCGGCGGAGCTGTGCCATGCGGACCTAGACCCCGAGGTGCGGCTTCCTCATCCTTTGCACAGACCTGGCAGCTCAAACTCCATCTAGGCCCAGGAGGAGCAGCACAGTGGATGGGCCCTTCCTGATGTTCAGGGCTGCAGACGCCGTCCCTATCCCCTCGCAGGAGCATTTGCAACATGGGCGTGAGCCTCACCACCATCACGACCTCTGTAACCGGGAAATCACTTTCTAAGAGAACCGGAAGAGTCTGGCAATGTTTCCCATTGGCAGGGTGGCCCGGTGTCCTCAGGGCCCTGAGTCCGGCCACCCTCCACCTGCCGTCCAGCTCCAGTAGAAACAGCCCCATCCCCTCCCAAGGGCTCCATTTGATGCTAAATTACCTTTTCCCCAAATGACAGCCGCAGAGGCTCTGGCGCCAGTTGACATCAGCTCATGTAAGATGTTTTAGAACCTATGTCTTAGATTCATTCAAAATTAACAGAATAATTTTATAGAAGTACACAAAATTAACCCGTCTAGACCGAGCCTGCCCCATTTATGAATCATCAATGTTTTAAGCAAATTGTCAGAAATTGTCAGTCATAAAGAATATTACTGATGTTATGTTTCTTTCTAAGATCAGCTTTGGAGGGATTTTAGCACCAGGAAAGCCAATGGTGTTTCCAAGGAAAAACTTTCGTGGATGCCTAGAAAACATTAATTTTAATGGAGAGGATGTCATCGGTTTGGCCAAGCAGCCGGGACCACAGATCCTCGTCACGGTAAGAGTCCCCCGAGGACGTCGGTGCCTCCAGCTCCCAACCGTGTCCTCGTCTAAGGCTCGTGACTTTAACAGCCTCCTCCGAGCAGCCCCGAGCACAAGCGGACCGGCGTGAGCACAACTCATGCTGTTTCTGGCATGAGACGGAGAGACCTGTTTTTGATTAAAATAAAATTAAGCCTCAGTGCATGATTTCCTTCCGTGGAGGCATCATCCCTCCCCAGAGGCCAGTCTTTTGGCGCATAATTCCCTGCAAGCAGCTTTGCTTCAGGACCATGGCACATACCGGAGCCCCTGGTTCCCTGGGGTTAAATATCCTGGCGTTTTCGAGACATGTGGAATAACGCTTCTGCCATGGAAGTCTGAACATGAGCATGAAACTAACATGCTGTGCTTTCATGTCGCTAACACGCCAGGGCAACGGTTTCGTTGGCTGACAGGGGACGGGCGGGTGCATTTACACCCAGGGAGGCCGGCTGGACCCAGGACCAGCCTCAGGGCACATCTGCAGCCTCCGTGCTGCCCTTACCCGGATCCCTTTACCTGGTATCCTGGTTAAAACCCCAGTCTTCCGGGCTCCGTTAATGGGGTCCACTCCTGAAATTTATCTTTTTTTCACCGTGGGCTGAGCCCCGGGGCAGGAGTCGGCCGCTGAGGCCTGCCCCGAAATCCGGGTCCGTCTGCGGCTCCGCCCTGGGACCCTGGGCCGCTCACCCCGGCACGCAGGCAGCGAGCTCCCCACGCCCAGCGGAAAACACGTTTTTACCACGTCTGCGTCTCCGGGAAGAGGGTGGGCCGGACCCAGGGCAGCAGAGGCTGGGAGCGGGGCTGTGGGCTCGGCTGGGTCCTGGGGTCTGCCGGGTGCCAATGTGGGGCCCGTGGGCACCGTGGAGTGGGGGACGCGGGGCATCCAGATGGGAACAGGCCAAGCCTGGTGGGGCCGGGAGGGATCCCCTGACCGGGAGGACCCTCAGCGCCGCCCTCCATCTCCCCCTCCCAGGGAACCGTGGCCTTTGCCTGTGCGCACCCCCAGACCGTGCCCGCCACGTTTCTGAGCGCGCAGAGCCACTTGGCGCTGCCCGGCTCCCCCGGGGCGGACGGGGCCTCCGTCAGCTTCCAGTTTCGCACGTGGAACCGCGCGGGGCGGCTGCTGTCCTGGGGGACCCGCCCGGGCTCCGGGGGCTTCTTCCTCGCGCTGCAGGACGGGAGGCTCCACGTGGGTCCGCGCGCATCCCCGGGACAGGCGCAGAGCGGCGGCCGCACAGGTAACTCGGGGTCCCGGCCCCAGCTCTGCAGGGAGCGCGGATTTTAGGGACCCCCGGGAGCCCCGCTTCCCCGGAGCACAGGCGCCCGCCGTCTACACCACGGGAAGCACCAGGGTTCCGGAGAAAGGGTGCCCGCCCCCGGGAAGCGGGATCCTGGAGCCCAGCCCGTTTGGGTTTGCAAGCGGCGTCGCATCTGAGAGCTGCGCCCAGGGCTGCGGTCGCCCTGGTGTCCGCACATTTGCGGGAAGAGATGCCTCCATTACGCAGAGAGCTGCCATGCCTGAGATGAAGGAGAGGGGATGTGTGAAGGCCGGGGCCAAGAGAGGGACCTTTCCCCATGCCCTTCCCGGAGGGAGTGCCCCGGCCGGCTCTGCCTCCTCCCGCAGGTGCTGGGGCCTGGAGGGTCTACACTGGGATGGAGTGTCTACACTCGGGAGGTGAGGCAGGTGTCAGGGAGGTGAGCTGTACACAGTAACACGTTTTCCTTCACGTACATCCTCTCGATAAACACCTTTCCACAGGATGGAGGGAGCGCTGGCTGCTGGGTGCTGCCCCTGAGGTTGAGTTCCACGGTATGGTTGGCACGGTCAGGTGTGCCATCTCTGACGGGCTGTGGCCCGCGTAGTCCATGCTGGGGCACAGCTTTTAGCAGAGCTGCACTGCTTCTGCGTGTCGCCGCTGGAATCTTTGATGAGGGATCAGGGTCACACATATGCTGGTTCAGAATAACGCCCAGGCCCTCCGTGGACTCATCAGACATGAATTTTTTTTTTTTTTTTTTTTTTTGAGACGGAGTCTCGCTCTGTCGCCCAGGCTGGAGTGCAGTGGCCGGATCTCAGCT